GAATGCCCCATTGCAGAGGGCAGTGTCGGTCTTGCCGACATTATAGGTGAGTTCTCAGAAAAGAGAGACAGTCACAGCCATAAAAGAGAAGCACAAAATTGCTCCTGAAAGAATCACCAGCCTGTGGAAAACTGCATTTGGAAGAAATGGTTTAGCAGGTTGTCTCTCTAAAAACATGTTAAGGTAGCTCATTCATGTTGGAACTAAGGCTAGCTAAAAAGCTGGTGCCAAGAACTCTAATTTGGTTTTCCATATGCACCAATAACCAAGATAAATCAAGACATTTCATTAGACAAATTGCCTTAAGCTCCCATTCTAATTAAGATCATGATAGCCTTTGGGCAATTAAATTTTGATTAAGGGTAAAAGCTTCCTGTATTTACATGAGGTAAGAACAATACTTTGCTTATATGATCTGGCTGGAAAATTATATATTTACCATCACAAGCACTTATCCCATGTACTTGGAAAGACCAGCCTGCTCTTGAGGCAAGTGACTTAGCTTGTCGTATCTAGGGGAAACACTTCCCCCCCTCAAAAAAAACAGATGCAAAGATCCAAACCTCACCTTTGCCAATATGCCGCCTAGTGTTCTCAATGGTGGAGTTGCGGTTAACATTCGAGAGCAGCCCCAGGCAAAACCTGTTCTTGTTGTTTGAAGGATCAGTGAAGCCATCCACCAGAACGCTGGTGGAAGAAGCGTGGAACGCCTCCCCAACGCGATTATTGAGTTCATAGTAGACAATGGAGCACCAATGCTTTGGCTCTTCGTAGGCAACTGCCTGAACATCTGTAAAGCAACAACGGAAACGTTACAATCTAACGGTGCTGGAAAAGAGGCTCGAGACTTCAAGATGCATAAACCTGCAGATTTTGGCTGAAGATCACTGAAAGATGAGCCAGATAAGCAATTGCACCTAAATGAAGACTCTTCCATCTTCAGTTATTTTTGAACTTTTCATATCCACAGACATACAATAGAATAATTTCACCTCAACTTTACTTGCACAAGACTTGCAAGAGACAAAAGCTGGCACTAGACACCATCAGAGAAGTGCAGGAAGCTCCTGGGCACATATCAAGCAGTGCCCCAACACCCCTGCTGCATTTTCTACAACATGCTACAGTGCGGGGCCCAGATAGCAGAGAAACACTGCAATTACACAGCTCAGCTTGCTTTTCAATTTAGTAAATTGAAATCTACTTGAGTTCATACTTAGCTACGTACGACAAGTCACCTCTATGCTTACTGCAATGTTGTACAGTGACAGGGATAAATACCATCACACAATTGCCCAAGAGACCATTTGTAACTTCAGGCACCAAGAAGTATAGCAAGGTAGCTTAAATACACAATCAGGAGATCGGTCTTTCAGCATTCAGTGCGTGCACAAGTCTTTCTCCTGGGCTTCTTGAGGGAAGGGTAGGACACTTTAAAAAACTAAGACAGACTGACATTTGTCTGCAGAACATGCACAAAGAACATCTTCAATATGAACAGATATTCCTTGGGACCAGAAGCCAAACAAGGGCATAATGCACAGGATCCTCACAATTACGATGGGCTGAAGAGCAGATGAAATGGAGGAAGCTATTATTTACTGAGAAGCTTTTACTCATTAAGTGCTACCAAAGGCAAAAAAATGTAACTGCTCATCACCAAAAGAACTGCTTGTTGAGTAACGGCAAGGATTTCTCAAACGTGGTTTTCCATGCTCTGGCAACAAGAAGCTCCTCCTTAGCAGCTCCAAACTGCAGCTGGGAATTGTGCAGAATGCTGAGAGGAAATCCCAAGTTCACAACTTCTACCTATCAAGCTCTAGAAACACATGGAAGTCTTCAGGTAACATTTGTGACTCTGCACAGGGGACAACTTCTTCCTGTACCAAAGGTGTTTACTGAAAAGAGTTTCCCAGTGGGTGTCCAACAACAGCATGGGTTTCTTCGGATATCTCCACCCATTGTGCATTCTTATAAGTGCCAAATACAGCTACAAATTATTAAACTGCCTCCAAACAAAAGGAGGATAGCAAAAGGGATGTGGTTGCTTTATGTGGTTTCTTTTAAATGAAGGACGCTATTTTACTGCGTAGCCTCGCGCAGTTGGACTTGCTGCTAAGATACCAACTGTGCAGATTAAAGCTCCAACTACAGGTCAAAGTGCTAAAATGAAAATCAGGCTGGTATTACAGGAAATCTTGTTTCTCTGCCCAGAGGTTTCCTTCTCCCAGGCCCAAGTCTTTACTGAAATCAGCCAACTAAGACCAGCTTTCCTATTTTCCTTTCTTCACATATAGCACAATGAGTTCCTGACACGTGCAAAACAAAAAAAAAAGTCCCCCCAAACCAGCAATATGCAGCGGATACAGAAGGTGGCAAGTAATCAAAAGCAGGATAACACATCCTACATCACTGTACAAAACTTCTGAGCATAGTGCCTACTGCTGACCAATAACTTGCTTAAAAATACTGATAAAAAGGAGCTGATTTCTCCTGACACCCTAGCATTTCTAGCTTTTCATGTCAATGTAAAGTAATTTAAGAAAAAGTAAATAAAAATCAGTCATTAATTATCACTAAGAGGCTACTACACTTTTAATTCCCATGAAGATGCCAGCAATTACCAAAGCTGCAGCCTTGCCCCAGTTCTCAAAGTCAGGAAGAAATCTTGCCAGCTGGCCATTCTTACAGAATGAATCATATCTCTCTCACACAGATTTCATACTAACTTCCTCACATTCGCTTTAAGTCATGCAGAGCAGGTGCGTTTAGACTCTCTATTCCCAGCATGGGCCAACAATGGAAATTACCCAACTTCATTGACAGGATGCAGCTTGTTAAATCAAATCTCTTAAGACTAACAAATCATCACGAAGGACATGCTTCTAAAATGTCTGCAAAAAAACTAAACCCACTGCAGTAAGTTCACAGTAAAAGCTCTTCTTTTACAACCTGCAGCAGAATTTTTTAAGTGCAATTACAGTGAACATATACGGACACATATACAATTTTTCTTCTTAATGGAGAGATGATAATCCATTGTACTAGGAGGGGAAAAATACTGAGAGACATAATTTTTATTTTCAAGTGGTTGAACAATTTTCAAAAGCAAGAAGAAAAACATAACCTCTTTTCTTTTTATCAGCTCTCATGTAATAGAGGAATCCTACAGTACTTGTGGGTTTTGTGAGAGGGCCAAACTTGCCAAAATCTGCAGTTAGGCATAAACATTGCTATATGCAGTTTGGGCCAGCAAGGACTTCACATAGACACAAAGCATACTGGATGAGCGAAAAGTGGAAATGCTACAGATGGGGTTCATCACACGCAAAACTCATTCCACAGAGAGAGTAAACAGGTTAGCACAAAAGCTATCCCAATTGTTCTAAGAGGGCAGGCAAGTACACTTCCTGAAACTAGGCATTAAGCTTAGCAACAAAATCAGTACCAAAAAAAAATTTTAAAAAAATCAGTTAAATTGCTCATATGCTTGTAATCTTGATAATCATTCTGGCGCAGCACCCAGCTTGCTGCTCTTTCTTGGCATGGGCCACAACTATGTAAGTTTATGTGTTTTCTGAAGGGGCCGTTTCTCACAACGTGATGAAGGCACTAAATTATTTACTCAGCACTCATGGCTGGCTGTGAAAGCTTTAAAAAACAATGTGTAAAAAGACGTCCATGTCACAGCACATAAAGCAATAGGTTTTCTTTAAAACAGGTTTTAGAGTCCATAGCAATGCCACACCTCAGGCAGACAGCTCTGAATTCCGAATCAAGTGTTATCACTGCATGACTCAAAGATGGAACAAAAATGGGGAGAGAGGGTGGAACAACACAAAATACTACAAAAACTCTCAGATGTCCTTATGACCAGGAGAAGCTTAAATTATTACAAGTAGAGCTTGCCCTTTAAGGACTGAAGTGTAAAACTCAGGACAAAAACATAATAAGAAAAGATAATTTTACAATACTTTCTGTGTCAGAGGGAAAATAAAGGTATTTCAGTTGCCCACTCAAAATGTCTCTGGGTATTTATATAACTGACAGTATTAGTATCCAAACACTGATCAAGTCTTTGCCTGAAGAGATACACTTGACCAGATCTACTGTCATTCACAATTCAGTTGGCTTTATATAGCATTAACTGCATTGTTCCAATAAAACAATGTAATCATAAGAGAGAAAAAGATTCCTTTCCTTGCACACATGGTAACTTCAGCATCGCAAACAGCAATGTGCAGCATCACGGGAATTTTTTCCATTTGGTAATAAGTGGAAGTTCCAGATACAAAGCACAAAATTACTTTGGTCATTGAGTTGGCTGGGAGTAAGAAAGTTACAATCTCATACATTTTACTTATTAAAAGAGTCATATGATAGCTTTTTGTCCTAAATAAATATTTACATTTTGATCTCTAGAGTTATTATTTCATCCCACAGAACAACAGAAAAAATATAAATTACTGTTTTCTTTTTCCTTTTCTACCGGAAAAAAATTTCCATGAGCAATACAAATCCAAAATTAAAACTCCATTATCAAAAGTAAGTTCTGAAAGCTCTTTACTCTTAAGAAGCGAAGCAGAAGATAATAAGGAAATATTTTTACCTCCTCTGTGTATATCAGGGGGAATTGCAGGTGCCATCATGTTGGTATCCATTGGCTGGGAGGTATCGTGTGTCATCTGATCTTCTGGAGGCAGGTAAGCAGGAGGGGGAGTATCAGCTAAAGATAGAAAAGGCAGAGATATACCAGTCCTTTCGTCTCTTTAAAGTATATATACACATGCACACAGTCTTAGCCTGGAAACGGCTCCATCCTGACTCAGCTATAAACTTGCACCCACCAGAAATCTGAGAAAGCAATCATGGACCTTGAGTCAGGAAAGCAAAGAATTACTGCGCATATTAAGCACAAATGCAATAAAAACAAGTCACTTCCCCCATCAAGCCACAAAAGAAACCTCAGCTATGTTTCCAGCCCACGTTTTTTGCAGGCTGAAAGTGCCATATAGACATTAAGGCACAAAGAGGTCTCAGGACCAGGCCAGAATGAGATATGGTAAATTTGAACAGAATTTGGAGCAGGATACTTCCAGTTCAAAGTTTTCTGTTTCCAACACGATTCTACCAGCCAAGCATGCAAATATCCTAGATATATCCAGGGTGTTATTATTGTCATGGTGAAGTACTAACTCGTTTTCCCTCGATTGAGAGCAACAGAAAATGTTCAGGAACCCAAACCCTACCGAAGCAGCCACCTGGGTCTGGTATTTATTGGTCAGTGTCTCTTACGGGCCGTAATGCCTCACTCAGGACTGAATCACTGGCATAAAGCCAGCTCCTGCACAGCGGCCGCACTCCCTAACACACCGCTTTCAGCCCGGTTTGAAGCATCCCAGCCAAGTAGTCGTGTTGCCCTTCAGCTGCCTCTTTCACTTTTGGGAAAGCTGCTCAGAAGCTGCAGGAAGTTGCCAGCGCCACCATTTCCCAAAAACGCAGAGGACACTCTCCGCCAGATCAATTGCACCGAGCTACATGCAAAAGATAGAAACCCTTGCTTGATGCCTGCAAGCTTTCTCTGCAAAAGCTGAGATTAGATTACCCCTGTGCTCTCTCTGGTGAATGTGGCTGCTGCTCATCACACATTTATTTCCATTACTGAGAGCATGGATTGCAAATTACCCCAGCAAATAATTACAGGGGCCTCCAAAACCCTGAAAAACAAATGGGCATCCACCAAAGGGAGGAGAATCATATCATTGTTTTTTAGGTCTGGGGGTTTTGTAGGGTGGGTTTCTTTGTGTTTTGTTGTTGTTGTTGTTTGTTTGTTTTTTCTCTAAAGAAAACTCATAGTAAGGAAATCTATTAACCACTCATTGTTTATGAGATATTCTGTTGAGAGCTCTACAACCAATGCTGGCAGGTACCCCGCTAATTCCCTTGTTTGGATACCCTCAATTTCAGTTGGACAAAAGAGCAGCAAGGAAAGACAGAGGTGAAGACAGCAGGTCTGCACTAAAAGCTTAACAGTGTGCACCAAAGTTTAAGTGTTGTGTTGTACTAAGCCTTAAATGTTTGCGAGTGTGCAAACACGGTGTTAGTGATGTACAGACAGGGAATCAAGACTGTAAGGCCATATGCAACAAATCAGACACTCTATAGATGGTTTTCAAGGCCTCTGGGTAACTGCTTTTCTCCTTTTCTTGCATAATCCAAAAGTCAGTCTCCCTCCCCATTAGTGCAAGACAGAAAACTGTCCAGACCTAAGCATCAAGGACATCAGTATCTTGACCTCTCCTCTAATTCAATTTCTTTACTGCAGCTGCTGACTTGTCTTTATGGGCATGCAGATGAACAGACCCTCAAAGATCAAGAAGCCAGTGTTCAGGAAGACCTTGTTAGGAGAAGCCTTGATCTCTGTTGGAAGAGCCCCAACCACACCAATCATATTTAAAAAAAAATGAAAATAAAAAATGAAAGGAAAGACAGCTGGTTTTGCAACGACTTGTCACTTTTTTTTTAGAAAAGGCAATTCAAACTCTCTTTCATTCCCTTCTGCCTCTGCAAATTCAGTAGTTTTCATTCACAAGAGAAAAATTTTAAAGATTGAAAGTTTTAAAATTAGAACTATGGGCAGCAGAAATCTATGGATGTTAATTTTACGTAATAGAAAATAGATTTTCACAAGTCTGCTGCTTTGTTTACACACATCCTCCCCCAGCCCCCAAAGAAAACATGCAAACAGAACATCAGTAAGCATTTGTATGGAGTCCTCCCAGCATTTAGGTCAACAAATCTGTCACTGACTGCTTCTGCAGTATTTTTATCCATCTGCATGTACGAACCAAAAATAGACAGCTTCACAGAATTTTCTATGGACATCAGTCAACAAAGAAAGGTTTCTTCTTTGACTTCATAAAGTAAAACAGCCTGAAGATTTCTTTTTGGGGCCTTAACTGTTTTCCGTTGAAGCATATTTGTTTCTTGAAATTACATCATTATATGAACAAATTTCATCAAGTAGCAACAGTATGATCCCCTTGAGAAATATTCTTCTGGCTGAATTTAGGATGATCTCCTTCCTAAGCAAGGATGATCTGTAGCATTACACTTCTTGTGCATGAATCGCCCTGCTTTGTGGGCGAACTGATCCCCAGAACATTCTGAATCTCGCCCCGCTGCCCCAGAAGAATTTTATGTTTTTACTGTGTTTGAAAGAGGCACAATGTTGAAATCTTCAATAGTATTACTAGACAAAGTGATTATATAGCCTTTATTACCTTACATCTCTCAACTCACTATTGAACACAAGTGTTGGCTGCTAGTTTGGTATAATTAAGCAAAATAATAATAAAATCATGATACCAGTGATGTCCAGCCACCTTCTCCCTTCTGAAGGGGAACCCAAGTTAACTGTACCTGGCATCTGGAAAGGACTTCCCGGGTCTGAGCTGGCTGGAGAATGTGGGTAGGTGCTACTGCTGCTTCCAGGCGAGTTTGGATAGCTGCTGTTGGGTGAGTGGGGAAACGGGTGACTGCTGGGTTGCTGAAAAGAGTCCGGGAAAGTAGCATTGTGCGGCATATGGGGTTCGTTTTGTCCCAGGTTGCGGAATTGGGCCAAGAGGCTGTGCTGAGGATTGTACTCACTGTGCCTTGGAACCAGCACTGGAGGAAGCACTGGAAAGGAAGAAAGAAGGAAAAGCCACAGTGTTAGAGACTCAGTTCTAAAGGACTAGGCTACTCAGGGGGAAAAAAATTAAAAAACACGTTCTTCCTCCCCCAGGGCATATTCACATCTGTCTTAAAAACAAGGTCGTCAAACCTAGGAGCGTATGTCTAAGCAGGAACTCTTTTCCTTATATCCGGTTACTGCATAGCTTGAATTCATAGCGCTCGTGCTAGCTACCCGGTTTGCTAGACAGGAGCTTGTTTTCACAGAGGGCCAGGGAAGAAGAGCCAAGAACAAACCACAATTCTGCGTCTGAGTTTTATTCACACAAAGGAATGCTGGGAAGTAAGCGTGTTACAATGCTGACATGCAGTTCATTCTGCTGCACTTGTGATTCTGCTAATCGCGTAATGGCCTGTAACCCCAAACCTTGCTAATAAGGGCACACAGTTTTTTCTGAAGACAATACTAATAGGCCTTGAACTCAGACTCGTCCCAACAGCTGTAATTTTATTTTTAACCTGGACTATGTTCTTACAAGTTAGTATTAAAACAGTTATTAACTCTCCAAGTCAGTTTACAAAACGTGCAATTTAAACAAAATTATGCAGTTCAAAAAACCCAACTGAGCAGCAACTGAGCTCCAACTCTATGCTAGTATGGGATCAGAGAAACACACATCAGAAACTACTAGTCTCACCGCACTCCCAAGGCCTCCTCACCAGTGGGGAAACAAAGGTCTCTTTTTAACTGAGAATATGAACATAATACCAGATATACTAAGACAAAAGAAGCAGCTCTTTTTCCCGTGCCTCAGCTTTGAATCCCTCACAGCATAGTCACAGCTACTCAAAGGATTAAAAGCTAGTCTTGTTACGGACAGAGATTTTGGGGTGAGGGGGGAAGAGGAGAGGCAAGGCCAGGGAGAGGAAGATCTGTGCACGGAGTAGTGGAAGTGAAATTTAAAGAAGTTATCCCTCTCCACATCTGCCCCCTTCAGCCCCTCCATATCCCAGCTCCATGGCTCAGTGGGACTGGAAGAAACATCCTGTGACAATCTGCCTTCAAGAGAGGGTGCTGAAAAAATACCACAAAAACCAGCAAAAGCAAGCCAGGCTCCCACCCCCTCTCCCAGAGACTCCTGCCCCAACATCTGGCAGGCACACAGAAGAGGAACTGGAGCATGTATACATGACAGGACATAACTATCACTCAGATTAAGAGAGGTGTTTCAGAGACAGCTGCTTCACTAAAAGGCTGAATTACAAACTAATTGGGAAAAAAAAAAGAAAAAAGAAAAAAAAAAGCTCAACTTCATGGAAAGACAAACAGGTTCTTCCAAGACACCGAGGCATCTTTACTCTTCCAGCACTTGCTTATAGAGAAACATTCAAATACTTATGTGAGCATCCTGGAGTCCAAGGGTACCAGGATATTGCTCAAAGAATAGACCAGGTCTGAGGTCTAGGTCCATGGTTAAAATGGATACAAAAGGATGCCACACACAAAACTCATTTTTCGTTCCTAAAGCAATCCACAGGTTAACTAAAATACACACATACACAAAATAATAAAAAAAAATCTCACCCCTCCCCAAAAGCACATGGCTCCCTTGCTTTTTTTTTCTTTTGTGCATGAGCTTATGAGAGAAACTAAACCACCAGATTTTTCCCCACTAGTGGCATCAATCCATGAAAAGTTTGATCCCAGAAATATTCACTGAACATACACCAAAATATCCCACCACCACTGAAATTAAGGCTGCCTGTTAAGAGTCCGAAGCAGGTTTTAAAGATTTAATCTGAAATCTCATTTTCTTAGAGCAGCTTCACTTCAATTCCAATAGATATCAAATATTTGAGGCAAATGTCACCCTCAAGTGTGTGGATGTGAAAATTCCAGCCAGCACCACCTTACAAGAAATATACCAAGTTCCTAATTATAGCATTTTCTGAAATGAAACACATCCATCTGTGGAAAGGAGAAGCTGCATCCCCCTCAGCTGCACACACTGTCCCTTGCATCTAGTGAAACCAGTCCCAGACATCACTGGAAGAAGCCATTAAAAAAAAAGTTACTCAGCATTCAGGCAGACATCACAAATCCCATCATTCACAATACAGCAAGGATCAAACCCGATCTCTCTGAATACGAGTATCTCTCAGAATTAAGCTTGTTCTGTTCAATTCAGCAGTCCTTCTGCAGTGAGGTCAAGCACTATTTAACTGTCATAGTGAACATTTGTCGGGCTAATAAATTACCAGTGAAAAAAGTAACAATGAGATCATGTGTTAAGAGGTATTTTCCCTTTCCTGTCTTTATGATTCTTCCTTACTTTTCTGAGCATTAAAAACACAGCTTTCCTATCTCTTCCTTTCCGATGGATGAAGGTCAAACCATTAACTTCTCTGAAGTTAATCTGTGCAGAAAGTACATCACCTACCTTTCCCATCCCCTACCTCACATTAAACAATGACACACATGACATCACAGGAAACCACAGGATTTATAGTATTTTAAAATAGCAGAAGAACAGGATATTTGCTCTATGTTTTCTGTAATTAAAATATAGTGCCAGATTTTGCCAAGGTATATATGCACGTTTCCTCCTGTTGGGCAGAACCACTGGTGACGTTTAAAAGGACTGAAATTAAAAACAAGTCTCCTCTTCCCAGCTCTCTCATCCAAATCTTTTTGTCCCACTACTTCAGCCCCAAATGACTAAATGCCAACTTTTTCAACATACACACAGGAAAGGGGGAGGGGGAGAAGGAATATGACTGGTATTGATACAGCACAAATAGCCTCAAAAATATGGTGTGTGGTGTTTATTTGCAGAATGTACTTGGAGTGCTGCCCCTAATTCACATCCTCTCTGCATATATGTACAACCCTCAATAAGAAGGAAAAGCCCTGAAAGGCCAGATCAGGTGGAACAGAGACGGCAGCGCTCGTTAGTCCAACTCCAAGGCAGCCACTTGCTGCCATAACCTGATCTCTGCAGCCCACAGGATTTTTCTTTTCTGATTTTTTTTTTGTCTGCAGATGAGCTGCTCCTACCAGAGTCACAGAGGAGTTAATCTGAACGCTGTTCACTCAGGAGTGAAGACACGAGTGGGGAGCGGGCCCTCTGCACGTATGGAAGGATGCCAGGAGTTCAAAACACAAAGAGGGACACACACCCTTCTTGCTCCCCTCGCCCCCATGTAAGGCACTGAGCTTCTGGGCAGGTTGCAGACCTCAACCATATGGAATAACAAATTACTGAGGCTCAGTACAGCAGGGGAGGAGGCTGATCTCTGTTGCAGCTGCCAGCTCCAGGAAGAAGTATAATTGAAGGGGAGAAAGCATGAGAGAGTTATTCTGTGCTAAGCCAGCACACCTGTTGCTATAAAATAATGAAGCCGTGCACATCTTTGCTGTGCGGATCTCCGCAGGATGTTGCTCTAACAGCTTGCAGGCAGAATTTCTCCCTTCTTCTTTACCTTCTTCAGCAGTAGGGAATGCAGACACACCCAAAAAAAAAAATTTTTTTATCATTCTTTCTATTCAGGCTTCTTCAGCAGTAGGGAATGCAGACACACCCCAAAAAAAAAATTTTTTTATCATTGTTTCTATTCAGAAGGGATATTTAAGGGAAACACTATTAAATACACTGTTGTCTTGAAGAGCTACTGCAACAGATTTGCAAATTCAACTTCATTAAAATGGTTAAAACCAGTTAATGGAGTAGAACCACAAGTCCCCTGACAGCTTGTTTTCTGTACTTTCTCAAATACCAGATGAGAAGGTTTTACATGCTACACCATTGCTAAACCCCGCTTCAACATTTTGTGTTGATGTGCACCTGGAGTTGAGAGTTAATACATGACTACTAGCAGTAATGCTACTAGTCATGGCTGAAGAGGAAGATAAAACACCTGGAGGCCAGGCTGAGTACCTTTGTGGAACAGTAGCTAAGAAGAGATCCTCTATTTGTCAAGGCAGCTTGGGAATTGGGCAGCTTGGTTTTACCATGCAAATAATACCCAGACTATGCCTGCACCAAACAAATGGAGCTATATTAAAAAAAATTACAGCTACAGGGAAATCTCACCCACAAGGCTATTTCTTCTAAAAGCCAAGAATGCCAAAAATATACAAGACAGACCAAAGACAACCTGGCTGTTCAGATAAATGTTCCAACTAACCACATCAAGGAGGAAATGCTTGTATGCAAATGTAATGGTGACTTTTGAAGAAAGCTACTGATCTCTTCTTTGTATCTCCAGCATGTCATCTTTTTCTTCAGAAAACTAACAGGTGTGCTGTCCTAAAGATTTTCTTGGTTTTCTTTTTTGTTCTGTTTCCACATTCCAGAGATAATGATTTTAGTAAACATATAAAATCTCCAATTTATGAATATAACTTTTTTTTTAGTTTCTCTTTAAAAAAACCACACCAACAAAACAAACCAAAAAACACAAATCAAACTAATTAAAGCCAAAGGACCTGCTGTAATTCTAAAGCAGCATATTTTCTATCCAGACAGATTTCAGTTACCTTACACAAGCCCCTCAAGGGCTCATTTTTTTTTTCCTCTTTGCATGTTATGTGAAGATTTTTCCCATGTCTGGAAATTGAAAGACCAAGTAATGAAACACAACATTAGCCACATAGAAGAAAGCAACTTTGATCATCTTTCTTTGCTGAAGTAGATTCTACTTCTGCTGCAAGCTTTATAAACTAAAACAAAAATAAAGAAAAAGATGAGTAACTGCTGCTGCACTTTCTGCTTTTAGAAATCATGACGATCTGGTCAATCTATGTTCTGTAGAAGCGTTTGGACAAGCCTGTACCACAAGAGGGGCCCCAGTCCTAATGAAGGCCTGAGGACACTATCATTAGAGAGTACATTTTAATTTCCAAGCACCATATAGGTGTATTTTCATATGAATTTATGCAAAGTCGCTTTTGTTTTACTAGAAAAACAGAACTGCAGGTTGGGAAGGAGGAAAATCCTCACACA